AGATGCAGAGCACCTAACTAGCAAGCGTTCGGCCCTGAGTTCAAACCTCCATACTGTTAAAACAAAATTGAAAATTGATGCGTAGGATCCAACAATCCTACTTGTGGAAATTTATCCAAAGCAAGAGAAACCAGTATAAGAAAGAGACATTGCACTTCTATTTGCATCACTATTCACAGTAATCAAGAAATGGAAGAACGATAAAATGTGGTGCATATACACAATGGAACCCTATTCATCCTTAAAAAGGGATGAACTCCTCTCTTGTGGCAACATGGATCAACCTGGAGGATGTTAAGTCAAATAAGTCAGGCACAGAAGGACAGTACCAGATGTCCTAATTTGTTTGTGGTATTTTAAAAAGCTGATCTCATAGAAGAAGAGAGAAGAGTATTGGTTACCAGATGGAGGGTAGCAGGGAAGCAGGGATGGGAAAAGATTGACCAAAAGGTAGAAATTATAGTTAAACAGGAGAATTCTGGTGCTCTGTTGCACTGTAGGGTAATTATGGTTCACAATATTATACATGTACTTTTAAGTAACTAGAAGAGAGGATTTAGATAAGTTCTCACCACAAAAAATGAAAATGAAGCTGGGTATGGTGGGGCACATCTGTAATCCCTGCCCTCAGGAGGCTGAGACAGGAGGATCATGTGTTCAAGCCCAGCCTGGGCTACATAGCAATATCCTGTGTCAAAACACCAAAATAATTAAACAAATAAAAAATAAATAAAGAGATGGGGCTGGTGGCAGTAGGATAAAAGGCTCCGAAAGGAAGAAAACACAGATTGTAGAGAGTGCTGCAACACCCAGGAGAAGCTGTGTGTAGCTTAAACCAGGAGCCCTCATCAGGGAAATTTTATTCCCTGGAAGATACTTGACAACGTCTAGAGACATTTCTGTTTGTCCCACTGTGGGTGGGGGGACGAGCTATTATGGGCATATAATGAAAAAGGTCAGGACCACTCCCACATTGAGAACCCTGGCTCAGTAGAGACAGAAGTTTGCATTAGAGGGATGTTAGAATCAACAGTGACTGGTGACCAGATGATTTTCGGAAGGGGAGAAAGACGATCAACCAAGACCTCAGGTCCCAGATGCGTGGGTGGCACCCACAGAGGTGAGAAAGACCCAAGGATTTGTTACTTGGTGGGGAAGATGAGCTCAGCCTGAGACCCGGAAGTGTGAGGTTCCTGTAGAACACCCCAAAGTAGTCAGATGAAACTCTCTAGGTCTGCAGGGACAGGGGGAGGGTCCTGTGCATGGATCTGAGAGGGATCCATGCACAGAGAGGCTTCTGTGACTACAGCAGAAGCCACGGGCACAGATGAGGTGACCAAGCTGAGAACAGAACACAGAGTGAGGAGGGAACAGGGCCAGCCCTGAGCCTTGGGGGACTCCAGGGAGAGCAGCACACTGCAGCCCAAAGCTTCTGGAGGGGTACAGGACGTACCTGTCACCTGGTAGAAGCTGTATGGCCTGATCCCCCTTACCTCCAAACCAACTCAGCATCATCACTGAAAAATATCTTCCCTAAAGATACTAATGTTTTAATTGGCTATTTGAAGTAAGTGATAGAATTGAGTATCTGTCATGTTTATTGACCATTTATGCATATGTGTGTGTGTATATATATGTATATTTATACATATATAGATGTTTTGAACCCAGGGCTTCATGAAGCACTCTATCACTTGGGCCATCCCCCCAGCCCTTCTTGCTTTAGTTTTTCTGGTAGAGTTTTATATTTTTGCCTAAGCTGTCCTCAGACTGAGATCCTCCTACCTCTACCTACCAAGTAGTTGGGATTACAGGCATGAACCACCATGCCTACCCCTCATTTATACATTTTGTCCTCACTTTTCCATTTTGTAAATTGGCCAGTGCATATCATTTGTCTATTTCTTTATTTTAAATATTATTTTTCTACACATTTATAGGACCTCATTCAGTATTATGGTTGTTTAATCTGCTATCACATTCTCAAACATCTCCCCCTAATTTATCATTTTCTGGATGTCATTCAGTGCAGTGAGTTTTCATTTTTAAGGGTTCACAGTGGTTCATCCTCCTGCTTTGATCTCATGATAAAAGACACTGTCCTATGTCTATGTTTTCTTAGGACATGAAATTCTTTATCTACTTAAATTTTTAATTCATCTGAAATCTATTTTTGTACATGATGAGAGACTGGGATTCTTTTCCAAGTGGTGAGCCAGCAGTTTCAACACCAGTTATGAGATACCTGTCCTTTCTCTCTCCCTTTATCATCTACGCATGCCATCCCAGCTTGTCTGGTATCAGACTATCTCTTTTGCTCTTCAGATCTGTTGGTATATGCCTGTGCCCAAACCTGGGTGTTTGAGTTACTGTAGCTTTATAATATGTTACGTATCAAGCAAAACAAACCTGTATTATTTTATAATTAGAAAGAGCTGTGAAGGTTTATGTACACAAGTGTGTGCATTTTTATTTGTGGAGGGCAAAAGAGGAAGTATGTGTGCCCTTAAATGTGGACGATTAATGGTGAAGGAGTTTGTTTCGTTGTTGTTTGCAGTACTGGAGATTGAACATAGGGCCTTACACTCACTCTGCAAGTGCTCTTACCACTTGAGCTATGTCCCCAGCCCATTTGAATGGCTGGGACTAGTCTGGGATTTGTAAAGAAATTTGAATAGTTCCTGAGCAGAGAGCTTCCAGGAAGGTTTGGAAAAATAAAAAGAGAGAGACTCCAAAGCTCGCAGACGAGGCTTGTACTCACATTCATGAGGCTGTAGAGAGGAAGCTGGCACATACTGTTGTTTTTGGATTCTAGCACCAAGTTCATTTCAACATCCCCTAGGCCCAGGATCTTTTCCCAACTCCCCAGAAGTCACCAGAAATTTCAAGGTCAGCAGGCATCTCTTAGAGCAGATCTACCTGACCGATTATATGCAGTGTCCCCTTAGATACAGAGGGACCCTGGACTCTGCCATGTACCTTATCTTTCGAAACGCAGCCAGCAGAGCTTACTGAAGGCTGATGCCCTAGAGCAGACCCTGGATGGAGCCCCAGCAAGGGCCCTCTCCACTCAACTCTAGCTCTTGTGCGCACACAGCCCTCCCTTTGGGGGCCTCGTCTCCAGATCAAAGGTCTCAAAGCAGGGGCTTTCCTGTCTTAATAAGATCCTCTTGTCTCAGAGGGGCTTTGGCCCCACCTGCACAGGACAAAAAACCTGGATCTAGGAGATAGCAGGCAGGTCAGGACCTCACCAGAGCCTCAGCTCTTCCTTCAGACTCCCAGAAGCTCAGAAGGAATGGCTCAACAGATCCTGCTCAGGTCTTTTGCTGGCACCTTCCAGAGTCCCTGGGTCACTTGAGGGGCCAGGAGACAGCGCTGCTGCAGCACTAGAAACAGACCCCTGAGACGTTTGGACCACAGCAGCCCCCAGGTTGTGGGTCTTACTTTTCCCTTGTCTTTCCCCTCCCTCCTCCCACCCCTCCCCTCTCCTTTCCTTCCCTCTCTCTCTTCTATCTTTTCTATGTGGCCCCTTCCAGGCTGTGCTTGTCCTGAATTTTGGCCTAATGACACTCAGGGTACAAAGTGTTGCTCAGTAACCGATAAGGATGTCACTGGGCATACCACGGTGTCCCTGGGCTACAATGTGCGACCGAGTCTGAATGCTTTGTGCTCCTCACAGATGATCCAGGGATCCACCTGCCTGCCCCCTCTCACCCTCCACTCCACCCCTACCGACAGAGAGGGCACAGCGCCCCACGAGGGTGGGGGCACTGAAGAAGTCAGGCATTCCCACAGAAAGTCCAGTCTTTGCCTGGTTCCTGGTTCCTGGTTCCTGTTCCCTCCACCTAGGATTGAAGTGAAGGTAGAGGAAGCTAGAAGAGAGATCTTTTGATCTTGGCCTTGACCGCGGCCCGGCAGTGGAAGCTGACCTCCCCCGCAGGCTCCCGCGGATGGGGGTCAGAGCCGCGCCCCCTCCTCTTCTACCTGGGGCGGGAGCTGATGGTTGAGGGCTGGGTACAGTGGCCCTTGGGGCACTCGCCCCTGTCTTCCCCTTCTAGGAAAGGCTGGGCCGAAGGTGCGAGTGCGAGACACAAGGAAAGGTGAAGAGGTGCTTGGCCTTGACCCCGCCGAGGGGCGGTCCCCAGAGAGGCTGCGCCACCCCCGCGCCACCTCGCCCCGCCTCCCGGGCGCCGGGGCCAATACTCCGAGCGCAGGCCGCCTGGCAGCAATCGGCAGCGCGCAGGTAAGGTTGGGGACCCGGCCCGGGCCCGAGCGACTGGGGAGGAAGCAGAAGCGGGCTGCTTGAGGCTGGGGGCTGGGAGGGAAGGAACCGCCATCGGACCCCGCGGAGGGCCGGAGGGGAGCGAGCCGAGGACGCGGACCACGACAGCCCGCGGGGGGCGCACGCCCCAAGCTGGGGAGACACGATTGGGAGATGCCCTGGGGCTCAGCCGCCTGCGGCTGTGTGGACCCCTGCCGGGTCGTGGGGCGCTGGACCCCAGGCCTGACATCCCTTTACAGCTGTTTTCAGCCAGCAGCTAAAGGTGCCCTCCCGGTCGTTAAGGGAGGGGGCCCGAGGCTCGCTGGCCGGGAACAGGGGGAGACAAACCCGCCTTGCTCATGTGCTTTGAAGAAAAGCCTGCAGCCTCGTGGATGTTCACAGTGAAAAGATTTGTGTCGTCCCCCCTCCGCCGTGTGTGTGTACAGGTGGAACACTCCACAGGGGTCGGGGAATAGACTTTTAAAATGTAAAAATTGTTTTTAGTTAAAAGTTTCTGCAAACCCATTCTTCCGTGTCTTACATTTGGGGTGACAGTAAAATTTAAGCTCTTGCTTTGGGTCTGTCTCTGAAGTTCTGTGTTGGGGCTCACTGTCTCCAGGGAGATTTTGATTTGAAGAAAGTGCAGTGGGTTTGCTTTCATATGTGCAAGGTGTTTGAACTTCTAGAGTCGGGGGCCATGCACGAATTGTCACTTTGTATTCTTTCACTGGCAGCCGGGAGAAACGATGTTCACTGTGATGACCCGCCAACCATGTGAGCAAGCAGGTTAGTGTCCCCAACCCACAGCAAGCGTGGTTTAGACAAACCACGTGAGAATCCCAGCCTCGGCCTCCAATGTTTCATCCCTGTCCCCTGCAAATGACTGTTTAACCTCTCGGGTTTGAGGCTCAGAGGCTCCCCCAGGTTTCGCCACCACACCGGCATTCCTCAGATAAAAGTAATGCTTTTCATCAAAGCCACAGAAAACAAGGACTAACATGCTTGTTTCACTTAAATGGTTTTTCCGGTTTGTATAATCCATTAATTTGGCCCTGTGGTTTCCTTTACCTCCCTGTGTGTAAGGTTTGTGCTGGAATCTTGTTGATTTTGTGATGAATTGTAATGTCCCGGATCTTGCCTATATTTCTGTCCAAACATTGTTTCTGGCATAGTGCTTGTGACACCATCCACCCCCACTGGGTCAGTGTTGTGATACTGCAGGCACAGATGGGGAATTTCTCTCTTCTGTCTGTCTGTCTGTCTGTCTGTCTCTGTCTCTCTCTCCTACATACACACACACACACATACTTCAGGCCTGCCTCCCCAGCAATTTTTAGAGGTGCTCATGTGGAAGCCGGGTTGGCTGTGGCCTCCCCACGCTCAGGTAGACACCTCACAATTACAATGTTTGGCCAGCCCTAATGACAGCACTGCTCTGGGCTGCATTTCTTAAATGAATGAGCCCTAGCCTAGTCCATTTTGCTTTGTAATAAGCTTTTCTGCTGGGCAAGGGTTTGCTTGAGGTAATCACAGCTTTTTCCTTGGAAACCGCTGAAGTGCAGAGGATTTAGGAGGCCAGTCCCGTGGCTGTGGTCAGGAGCCCGCTTACATATCACACCCTGGCCTGGTGGACACATGTTCTTTACTCATGCCCTAAATTCTTGTCTTCCCAAGGGATATGATTTTAGGAGATAAAGGCCAATTTTCTATGAATTTTTTGGTGAAGAGAGATTGTGCTTAAGAAGATGGTTTTCTTTTACTTACAGGTTTTCTCCAAAACACTTTGAAGTTTTAACACATTACTGTAACATCCGAGATCCAAACTAATCTCTTACATTCCTTCCAAAGGACAAGTTTAACTTGGCAGATTAAATCTCTATCATGTCTTGTTGGGGTAAAAAAAATCCTCTTTTACTGAAACTGGTGTGAATTCTTTGAAAGCAAATGCCTGTGTGGATTAGCTGGTTCTTGGCTGGTTTGAGTACTTTTATCCAGCATCACAGAAAAGCGGTCTAGGGCCCCTTCAGATTCTCTGAAGTTCAACTCCACAGCAGTTGTCTCTCCTCCACTTGCTGGTACAAATGACTCTACAGTGAAGAACCTTGTAGGTAAATTATTTCACATGTGTGGAGCTGGTCCCCAAAGGTATAGAGTGCAGAGTCAGGTAGTATGCTCATCTGTAATTTGGTAAATATTGACACATTGTCCCCACTGATGTTCTACCAGTTTATGCTTCCAATGACAAGGTGGGAGAATCAAGATGTTAAGTGACCACTTTTGACATCAGAAAGTATCTGTGACTACATCGTTCTGCAGGAGATCAAGGTAGAAAGAATTGGCTGTTCTAAGCCATTGAGACTGACTGCATGACTGTAATGCGTGTTGTGACATGACTGGATATTGGGACTGCCATTTAATGCTATCATGGTGGCATGTACATGTCTTGTTTTCTTCCAGGAAAACATCTCCTAGAAGTAAGGAAGCAGTAAAGGATACATTTGTGGTGGTCTAAGAGCAAACGTTCTGGAATAGGGCAGGATTCACCCTGTTGCTGTTCACGAGAACTTTATGCAATGGTGGATATGTTCTAGAGTTGTGCTGTCCAATGTGGTAGTCTCAAGGCCATGGTCAGTTTTTGAGCTCTTTGAAATATGACTAATGAGATTTGGAGCTCAGCCATTTTGTTTTAATTAATTTACAATTAAATAGCCAATTGGTAAGAGGAATCTCTGAGTTTAGAATTAGGATTCTCTGAATTTATCTGTGATGCCAGTGTTTATCATATTTCAAGCATTTATGGCTATGTCTTCATAGTTCTAGCAAGACTACTATTCAGTCAATATTTTAATTGTCTTTTTTATCTTAAAAAAACAGGTATAACTTCACACAGTGAATTAGATAGATGTTAAGTTTTACCCCTAAATTGGTATTCTTGCCTTCTGAAAGTATATGTTTTAGGATCATGGGAGTACTTTATAAGAATCTTTTTTTTAAAGAGAGATTGTACTTAAGAAGCTGACTTACTTGGATTTTCAAGTTTTCCCAAAGGAAAAGCTTGATGAGTTTTGACAAAGTGCACACCCCTGTACCCCACAATTCTATATAGAGAGAGTATTTCTATTACCTTAGAAAAAGCCCACACATTCCTCCCCAGTGAATCCCTACCCCAAACCTTCAAGCAGTCATTGTTCTGGTTTCTGTTACCTGCTTGCTTTAGAACTTCACATAAATGAAATCCTTTCAATTTACTAATTCTGCATGGTGCTAATTTCTTTCACTTAAAATAAAATATGACATCATCTGCTTTAATAGAACACAGGTTTTAATCTATACCTTTTAAAATGTTATCGTAATATCTCAGGAATGGTCAGTAATTTGCACAATATATTTTGAGACATTCCAGAAAACTAGGTTCTGCCTTTCTCTCTGCAAACACTGTTTTAGTCTACAGTTTTGAGGGAAGGCTCAGTGGGTGTCAACAGCCAGTTGCTATTCCATTGTACAATCATGGATCTTAAAAGCCAGAAGAAGTGACCTATGTGCACAATTATGTGCCCAGTCCGTGGGTTCTCCAAAAGCCCAGTGCCTGTTTCCCACTTTTCCCTCATGTGTCTTCTGGGTCTTCCCATTGTAGGTTTCAAGGCCCTCTCCCGAACTCCAGCCATCATCACCTTGGTGGTCTTGTTTGTGAGTGTTGTGGTACTGGTAACTATCACACTCATCCAGGTCCATCACCCAGAGATCCTTCCTCCAGGACTGAAGGTAAGTTAAGTGTGAAAGGATTGGCATTGAAAGAAAGAATTGGGCTATGACATTGATTATTCTAAAACTGTGAGTTAGAAGACAAGAAAAATCTTCTCTCCTCCCAACCTCCAGCTGGAACCAGGAGAAAGTGGCTGGGTTGGTGATGTTTGAAGCTACAGATTGAGGGGAGTGACCCCTTCTCCAAGGAAGAAGCCAAAGACTATAGTAGCCAAAGATACAGTTTGTAGCTAAGAATTGCAGGGGTACCAAACATTTACCAGTTAAGGCAGTTTCCATTCTTAGCAACTTGTCTGTTCCTGGAGACCACAAGATATGATCATGAATAAAGACCAGGAGACCCAGGCTCCTCTTCTGACTTAGCCAGGGTGAACAAAAAAATCAAAGACTCAGGAAGTCTTCTTGAGCTGTGTTTGGGCTGCTTCTCTTAGGTTGGTTACATGCTGTGCTCACTCCAACACAAACCACTCAGGACATTGTGCTCAGTCCCAGAGGCTGCTCAAAGCCTTTTTTGAGTCCACCCCAAAATGGCCCTGTAGATGACTGCTGGTAGACCGAGAACCACGCATTCCATAGTGTTGACTCTGAACAGATGGGAAGAGATGGAAGGAGTAGCTGTCAAATGAACAGTGAAGAGAATCAGTGAGTCTTTCAACCATTTTGAGTATAGGTTAACAAATATTTTCTGTAAAGGTCCAAACGGTATATGTCTTAGGCTTGACGGTCACTTAGTCTCTGTTGCATATTGTCCTTTGGTTTTTGACTCATTAAAAATGTATAAGCTCTTAGCTGGATGAGGCAGAAATTCAGCAGTGTTGTTTGAATCTCATTTAGCATTTATACTTGACCTCACAAATCCTTTCTACAGTTCAAGGGTTATATTTGAAATAAAAGTTTTTTTTAAAAAAAGAAGAAACTAATATTGCCTTGAGCTCCATGAAAGGGTTCATCTAACATTCTGAGGTCACCTTTTTAAGGGATTGGAGTAAAATCTTCTTTAGATTTTATTTTTTATTTATTGGTGGTACTGGGGTTTGAACTCAGGCCTTGTGCTTGCTAGGCAGGCACTCTACCACTTGAACCACTCTGCGAGCCCCTAGATTTTTGTTTTTGATAGTACTAGGATTTGAACTCTGGGCCAGCAGCACTCTACCACTTGATCCACTCCACCAGCCCTTTTTTAGGTTGGTGTTTTTCAAGATAGAGTCTGGGGAACTGTTTGCCTGGACTGGCTTTGAACCACAATCCTCCTGGTCTCTGCCTCCCAAGTAGCTAGGATACAGGCGTGAGCCACTGGCTCTCGGCTTGATAAGATATTTTACTTCAGAAACTCAGCATTATTCTCATAAGTAGTGTGAATAAAAAAGAATAAAAACACCCATGCAACTGTCCAATGTTGGGAGGAAAACCAGTGATCTGGCTGCCCAAGATGTAAGCTCAGGCTGGAGAAGCCTCTTGCCCATGCTGAGGCACAGGCTTCTTCCATAACCATAGAAAACCGGACGACAGCGAACGCTGATATGGCCTCTTTGCACTTCATTTGCTGCTGTTCAGTTTATTGAACCCTTTTTTCCCTGGTTTATCTCAGCCCTTATGATGACTGCTGTGGCCCTCACTGTGCAGCCAAGGAAATGCACCTGGCCCCTGATTCCCAAGGCCAGGGGGCTTCACTGACTCCCCCACTTCCCCTTGATGCTGAGTTCTGAATGAGGCTTCAGAAGGAGGCCTTGCATGGGCACACACATCCCTCTCTGCACAGAAGGGATGGTGTGGAGGAATGTTGCAGCTATGGAAAGGCTTGTTGAACTGGGGGGACACTCTTAGATTCCCATAACTGAGCCTCTGTTCTGGACCCCACATTTCAAAAAGACCATTTCTACCTTGTTTTTCTGCATGGGACAAGGGAATATACCTGTCCTAAGCCCATGCTCTCCCTTCTAGAACACACGCTGGTGTCTGAATCTCCAGAAGTCAGGGTCTCTAAGCCCCTGAGAGTGGACCTCACTGTTGGTCTGGGAGAAGCCAAAAGGCAGCTGCTTGCAGGGAGTGTAGACCCCAGGTAGGTGCATCAGGAAGTCTCCTGAAGAAGGCTTTGTTGTCATGGCAACTCTTTTCATGCTGGCAAATTAATCTTAGCTTACTGTAACTTTTTTCAGTTTTTTATTTTCATTTTTTATTAGTATATGAAAGGGATTTCATGTGCTATTTTCAAAGTATAATGTACTTTGCTCACATTAAGCAACCCATTATTCTTTCTTATCCCTCCCCCAACCTTTTTGTTTTGTTTTGTTTTGTTTACAAATGTTAATGGCTTTTGTTCTATGTTCACACAGGCATGTATTTGGTCACCCATCATTTTTTTGACACAGGGTCTCACTAATATAGCCTAGGCTGGCCTTGAAGTCCATATCTTCCTGCCTCAGCCTCCCAAGGGCTAGGGATTACAGATGTGCACTGTCATGGTATGCAATCCTGTCCTTGCCCTTCACGCTCTCTGCTCACCGACTCACCAGTTGTTAGAATTGCCTGCAGTATTCAGTATAGTTTGTAGCCTAGGAGCAATAGGTTACACCTTAGCCCAGGTGTACAATAGGACACGCTATCCAGGTTTGTGTAAGTACACTGTGTGATGCTCCCACAGTGACAAAATCATCCAACAACATGCATCCCAATGAGCAAGCAGACTGGCCTGGAGCGCCAAGGGCACGATTCACACATGGCTCACACAACTGTCTCAGGTTGGGCTTCCCTAGAGAATAAACTCAGGGAGGTGAGGTAACCAGGAGGAGCCTGTGCTCCAGCAGGTCAGCAATTCAGACACAGGGACCCAGTCCTGCCAGTGCTCTCCGGGAGCATCACTAGCATCAGAACTGTCCCATATGAAGGGGCTTAGAGACAAGTGTCTCACAGCTGTCCCACTCTCCAGGGGAAAATGCACGATGCCATCTGTCATTGGCTGGGAAACTCCTTCCTAAGGGGTGTGAACTCTCTGGCATTTCTGGCTTATTGTGCACTCAGGTAGGCTTAGGCTGCTAGAGAAAGTCTGCAGGCAGGTGCAGGGTAGATGGTGACACATTTCAGTAGAAGGGACAAGGGCAAGGAGCCATCAGTGAGTGTTCCTTGTAAATACCAGTATTACTATCCCCATTTACCAGATGAGAAAACAGAGAAACAGAAAAGACAAGTAGTGCGCTGGATGTGGTGGCTCACACTTCTAATTTCTGCTACTTGGAAGGGAGAGATATGATCATGGCTCCAGGACAGCCTAGTCAAAAAAGTTAGTGACACCCTGTTTCAAAGAACAAGCCTGGTGTGGTGTGTATGCTGGAAATCTCAGCTATGCAAGAGGCATAGCTGGATTGTGGTCCAGCCCAGGCAAAAACAGACCGTATATGAAAAATAACTAAAGCATAAATGTCTAGGGGTGCGGTTCAGGTTGAAGAGTGCCTGCCTAGCAAGCAGAGGCCCTGTGTAGTTCAAACCCCAGTGCCATAACAAGGGGAGGGGAAGACAAACAGTTTTCTATGGTTACATAGATTGAAAATAGCACAGCTAGTACAAAAGAAAAGGGAGTTGAACAGTAGCCTTAAGCAAGGGTTTGGAGGGACCAAATGACACACCCTCAAAGAGAGAACTTCAAATCTCTTCTGAATCTGGCCATGGAAAGTTAGATGACCAGGAAGATTGACTCACATGCCATCTGCTTAAGCAGTTAGCTTCAGTGTAAGTGACAGATGTTCTGGGACAGTTGAGCCAGGAGCAGATGATAGCTTTAAAAGAGGGAACTCCCTGGGCAGCTTTTCTCTCTCCTCTCTCTTTTGGTTTTGCAGTGTGTGCTGGGGCACGAAGAGCCCTGCAACAGTGAAGGTAGATAAGTGGGAGAGCTCTGATTCTTTGTCGTGTGTATGTTTTCCTATTTTCCCGTGGCATGCAGCTGACAGTGGGTCACCAGGGCCCTCCCCCGCCCCCCATAGCCAGTGTGGAGGGCCCTGGAATGTTTGCTCCATGGACCTTCATGGAGGGGCATGACATCTGGCTGTGAAATCCACCCTTGATTTGCCTGACCTTGGAATGAAAATTTAAGAGCAGAACTCTCAGAACTCAGTTAGGGGTGGGAAATGTCCCCAGTTCTTCATGTTACTGGTCCGACTTGCTCCACCAGCTTGAAGAGTAAATATGATGTCATTGCTTTTATTTTTCACCCCAGCCCCCATCTGCTTTATTATCCTAGAGTCCAACTTCTTCCTCTTGAGGCTTTGCCCTCCCTACCCCCAATCACAACCATCCTAGGAGCTTGGGGCTTCTCAGTCTAATGACCAGTACCCTAGTACCATTGTCAACTGCAGCACATGCTGTCACTTTTGAAGGTGGCTTCTGCACAGTCTCAGGACAGGCTTCCCATGGCCTGCTCAGGCCACTTTAGTCCCCAACATTGGGTATAGGGCCACAGGCAGTTTTAGTTCTCAGTCCCATGCTCTGTCATTACCCTCCCACAGCTAGCCACTGGCCAGCTGGGTTGGAAATCATTCCCTTCCAGGCTACGGAATCTTGCTCAGCTGCTGGATTCTCAGCACCTGAGGTCCAGCCTGGTCTACCTCTTGGACAGCAAGAATTAGACAGGTGGTTTCTCCCTTTCTAGAAAGGCTCCTCATACAGTTTGAGACATCTCTCCTCCAGCTGGTTCTGCACACCCCTTAATTTAGAATGCAACTTCAGGTTCCTTGCAAACAGAGGAAGTCAGCTCTGCCACATCAGCACCCTTCTTGGAACTCAGTGATGGCCTAGGAACCCTGAGGGCAGGGTTGAGAGTGAGTAAGACAGGCTCATCCGAGGTCTGGCCCCATATGTCAACTAAAGAGATGATTACTGCATCTTATAAAGGCAGTGGCACTTCTTAAAGTGCATTGTGTAGTTCCTAGAAAATCGTAAGTGCTGAATCATGCAGATTACCGTTCTTATGATAGTGATAATAATATCAGTCAGCCCACCTTATGTGTGGATTTAGTGCACACAGTTTTGACCAAGTGCGGTCAAAAACTAATAATCAATAAAAAAAAATCAAAAGAAATTTCAAAAGCAAAAATTTCAAGTTCCTGTCGTGTAGTGAGCAGCTCAGGGGATGCAGAGCTCTCAGTCAGTCCCACGTTATTGTCAGCTGTGCTTAAATTGTTGTGTGATCTGCTGTTTCCTGCTCTTCATTTTGTGAAAATCTGCTCCCCAAACGCACAGTAAAAGTGAATGTGCTTATTTGAGTGGTAGTGAGAATCTGACATTTGTTGAAAGGGGGGTTATGGGAAAAATGAATCCAGCATCCACAGATGTGCTGTGCTGAAAGCTATGCATTCTGAGCACGCATGTGTTTACTCAGTGGTGGCCCCCCATGATCAGATGCCAATCTAAGCAAGCTGGCCTTGTGACCTTTGCTTTTGATAGATCACACAGTCTTAACGAGGACAGAAAACTGTTTCCTTTTAGTTAACCCACGGAGTGTATCTTAGAATCCACATTCAAGTCATGTTTTTTTCTGACACCATGAGACAAGGGTTACTTGTTACTTTTTTTTTCAGTACTGGAGATTGAACTCAGGGTGTTACACATGCTAGGCAAGCACTCTACCACTGTAGTCCCACCCCAATCATTTTTATTTTTAGTTTGTTTTTCAGATAGGGTCTCACACTTTTTCCCTGACTGGCCTCTGACCATGATCCTCTTACTTCCACCTCCTGAGTAGCTGGTATTACAGGCATGCACCACCACACTATATGCTGCTTTTCATCCAAACATTACCTTTCTACCACTCTCTCCCAATGGATCCACGTTAACTTCCACTGGTTTAGACAAATGAGCTCTGAAAACTGGTCAAAGACTAATTTTTTCCACTTTGGAAAATGTCAGTGACAGTAGATCAGTGTCAGAAGCAGAGTTGGGCCAGTCCCCACATCAGCAGGTGCTGGAGGAACAGCCACAGGGCAAAGCTGGATCCCGGTTGGATTAAGGAAGAGAACATTCCTCCTGTTCTCTCTTTCTGGGCTTGACCCAGGAACCCCGGCTTCATACCCAGGGAAATATGTGTCCCTTTGGGGAAGGGCAGGGGAGCACTTGTTCTTTCTCGGCTTGTCCCATGGGTCAGCAGCAGGCCTGACAGGGCCACAGGCAGTGGTGGCGATCAGCCTGACAGCAGAAAGAAAGATAGCAGGCTCTAACTGTGGAGGCCCCAGCTCTTCAGTGCCTGGCTTCCTTCTTGCTATAATTTCCACTGACAGTTTAACCTTGCTGTGAGTCTCTGCCTGGGATGACTGTGAACAAGGCTGCCCTTGTTTGCCACAGGGATATCATGGCAGGATCTGGATCAACGTTCATCACTGAAGGACTGAGATTAAGAGGCTGTCCAAGCATGAACAGCAGTGGACACAGGGTTTTCTTGTTCAGTATCATGAAGAAGCTATGATGCAGGAACTAGGGCAGCTTTTTTAAAAACTTGGTTCCTATTCACATGAAGCAAACATTTATTACAGGAGAAAGCTAGAATCAGGGGCGTGGTCAAGTAAATTGTTCTACATCTCACAGTGGGTGCATTGAATATGCAGAAAGTGGTGAGCTCAGTCTGTTTTTACTGTTAAGAAGTATTCATGAAATGCTGTTAAGGAAAGAGCATTGCAAAATAATAATAATAATAAGCCAGGCGCTGGCGGCTCATGCTTGTAATCCTAGCTACTTGGAAGGCAAAGATCAGGAAGATTGCAGTTCAAAGGCAGTCTAGGCAAATAGTCCTCAGACCCTATATTGAACATACCCAACATAAAGCACGGCTGGTGGAGTGACTCAAGCGGTTGAGCACCTGCCTCGCAAGTGTGAGGCCCTGAGTTCAAACCCCAGTACCACCTGGAGAAGACTTAGAAAAGATCTATAACAAGGGGTTAAGACAGTGATTAGATCTGAGAGGTGTTGTTTGCTTTGGCTTCTCTCTCTTATTTTCCTTTGAAATTTTATTTATTTTGCTCAACTGGCTTTTCCACATATGCTAGGTAGTGGGCTTTTCTAATGAGTAGCTGTAAGCCTCAGGCATATGGTCTACAGTCTGCTTCTGGAAAGCAAGTCACCTGAAGATGAGGGAACTAAGAGAAGGTAAACATTCTTCAGCATTGTAGAATCACGAGTCCATCCATGCTAGCCTCAGCGTCTCCCCTGGGATGAGGGAAGTTAGCCCAAAGGCAGTAGAAGGGGAGAAAGGCTGAGGCCCTGGAGCCCTCTGGATGCCCTGGGTGACTCTTGCCACAACCAGGCCTAGTTACTATCACCAGTCCACTCCCCACAGGCTGCTGCAAGCACAGCTCTCTCCTGACATGTTTGGTCCAGCATGGAACTGGGCTAGGCCTGCACATAAATCCCCTGGTGCCTGCCGCCAGCTGGGCAAGATAGTCCAGGTTTCAGCGTCCTCTCCTGTGCATGCAGCCCCAGCTCTGCCCAGCTTGTCTCCATTCATATCATATCACAGAAGTAGGAGCAGTCTATGCATATTGTTTTATATTTTGTTCTTTCTCCTTAATTATAAATACTTTAAAGAAGAGGACTGATACAGATACTAACACGTCTTTCCCTTGTTAGAACTTGCTACAGTTTCTTCCTGTAGTTTCCTTTTGGTTTTTTTTTTTTTAATCCCCAGGCTAACCCTGGGAGTATGTGAGGACATCCAGGTGACTTATCCCTTCACTTCTTTTCTGAGCCCCAGGTGGCTTCACCGGTCACCTCAGAAGTTGGTGACGTGAAGTAGGGCCCTTATCTTTGTGGGCAAGCTCCTTGCAGTATGGTCCTCAACCTTGGCTGCATCTTAGAATCACCTGGAGAGGTTTGAATCCTGGTGGTGCCTGGGTCCCCCTCAGAGATTCTGATGCAATTGTTCTGGGGGTGGAGCCTTGGGGGTCCCCAGGGGATTCTCTTGCTTGGGCAGAACTGAGAACCACACCCTAGGACCTGACCCAACTCATCCCATCCCCTTCCCCACAGCCATGGAGCCAAAGGTGGCTTGGTGACAATAGTTTTCTTGATTTGCCTCTATCTCAGCGAAGCAGTGTGGATTGAGGTATCGGAGTTCTTGGTGGCCCACCAGGGAACAAATCCTCAGACAGCCCCGGCCTCTTTCTGACTCTTCCTTCCTGTCTATTCAGTATGGAATTGTGCTGGATGCCGGGTCTTCCAGAACCACCGTGTATGTGTACCAGTGGCCAGCAGAGAAGGAGAATAATACTGGAGTGGTCAGTCAAACCTTCAAATGCAGTGTGAAAGGTAAGGTCTGAAGTGTGGTTGGGAGACCAAAGGGAGGCAGGGTACAGTCCTGAGTCCTTCGAAGGCCTGGAGGCAGGCAGTGAACCCTGGACTGGGAGTCAGGAAAGTATGAGCTGACTCATACACAGCAACTCATACGCAGTTGCTGCCCATCTGTGGGGGACACACAGCTCTTACACGAATAGACCCGGCTCTGCTCCAGTAGAGCTTTACTTACAGAAATTGACCTTGGAATTTCACAAAGATCTCACATTTCACAAAATATTATTCTCTTGTAATTTTTCCTTACTTTTGAAAAATGCAAAAACTCTTTTAGCCCACAGGCTGTACAAAAAAAGGTGAGCGCTGAACATGGTAGCACACACCTGTAATCCCAGCACTTGGGTGGCTGAGGCAGGAGAATCAGAAGTTCAAAGCTGGCCTTCAATGTCAGTCTGGGCTGCACAGTGAGAACTTGTCTCAAAAAACCAAGATATAGCTCAGTGGTAGAGCCTTTGCCTAGCACATGGAAGGCCCTGGGTTCCATCCCCACACCAGCAAATAAATAAATAAATATGGAATTGGATTTGGCCCATGAGCTGACAGTCCCTGAACTAAAATATTTAGTGATCCTCCATGCAATTACCTCCTTCCTCATAATATATCCTGAATTTTTTATGTTAACTGTTACTTGTTCTTTCAGTTTTTCTTTATTAGAAATGTTTCTTTTCTTTTTTTTGAGACAAGGTTTCACTATATAGCCCAGGTTGCCCTTGAACTCTTGATCCTCCTCAGCTTCTGAAATGCTAGGGTTATAGGCTTTTGCCACCATGCCTGGCCCTGTTTTATTATAATTTTGATTGTACACATTTATGGAATATGGTGTGATAATTCAATGCATATGTATAGTGTGTAATGATTAAATCAGGGCAGTTGGCATTTGTATCTCCTAAACATCTTTAAAAATTTGTAGACATATAGTAATACACATGTTTATTGGGCAGTGTAGCGTGATATTTCAATGCATAGACATAACATGTCCTGAGCAGATCTCGGTAATTAATGTTTCTATTTCCTTATCATTAGTTTATGTTTGAAGCCTGGTTCAGCAGTCTCTCTCTATCTCTATCCCTGTTTTTTTGGCAATACTGGGGTTTGAAGTTGGGGCTTACACTTGCTAGGCAGGTGCTGTACTGCGTGAGCCATGCCTCCAGCCCATTCTCTTCTTATCCGTAAATTATATAATAGTTACTGTGAGCTATAGCCACCCCGCTGTGCTTAGAACATCAACATGAGAATCTATTCCTTCTCTCTAGCTGTATCTCAGTACCTGTAATCCAGCCTCCCTCTGTTCTCCCCCCATCCTTTCCAGCCTCTAATAATCACTATTCTACATCCAGGGCTACGTTTTTTAGCTATCACATGTGAGAGGGAACATTCAGTATTTGTCTTTCTGTGTCTGGTTTATTTCTCTTACATCAGGACCATAATGTTCTATCCATTTTCTACAAATGATAGGATTTTATCCTTTTTAATGGCTGAATGATTTTCCATTGTGCCTTATACCACATTTTCTTTATCCATTCATCTGTTGATTAGGATATAGATAAAATAAAACTCAATACACTGTTGATGAAAAGGCAAACTATATCTATTATGGAGAACAGAATCCAGTGCCTCAAAACATTTAAAATAGATCTACCATATGATCTAATGATTCCATTTCTGGATATATAGTCAAAGGAAATGAAATTAGCATATCAAAGAGATAACCGGCACGCCCATGTTATCAATCACTAAGATATGGAGTCAGCCCAGTTCTTCATAGATTTGACTTATATATTTTGTTTTTCCTATTTTTGAAAATGAAATCAAATATGTATTTAAATAGTCAAATATGCTTTTCTTACTTTATTCATTATCATTAGGTTTTTAAGCTTCATCTGAATATGAATAGCTGTAACTCATTTTTTTTTTAATTTGGTGGAACTGAGGTTTGAACTCAGGCCTTTTCACTTGCAAAGCAGGTGCTCTACCACTTGAGCTATACCTCCAGTCCTTATTTTCGCATGTTGTTGGAAATTTGTATTTCCCTCGTTACTAATAAGCTTGAGCATCTTTCCATAGATTTATAGACTTTTCCATTTTCTGAGAAATGCTTGTTCATGTCTTTTGCTTATTTTTCTACTGAATTGGTTGACTTGTCCTTTCTGATGCATTGGAGTTTTTATTAATATTCTGACTGTGAATGTTCTTCTATTATTACTAGATGTTGCTAATATCTTCTTGCAGGCTGTAGATTGTCTTCTGTTTCTTCTTTTGTTAACTGTAACATCTTTCAATGAATAGAAGTTGTTTATTTTTATATCACTATAACTAGTAATCTTCCCCTTTGTGGTTTTCTTTTTTGTATGTTTTATCAAAGAGCTCTTTCCCTAGCATAAGGTCATAAAGATATTCTTCTAGCAAAGTTTCATAGTTTTGCCTTTTATAATTAAGTCTTCCGTCCACATAACCAAGCCCAGTTAGTGAATCTGTGTGTGTGTGCCTTTCTAAAAGTCACTCTCTTCCTCTTTAAAGCTTCGTGCTCTTTGAAGTGGCCCAGAACTCCCCATTCAGTGTGCCCTGAAGGGACCATGGCACTCCCTCAGCCCACACCCTGCAGGTTAGAGACTCCAGAGCTGTGCCCCAGCCCCAAGCAGTCTGTACCATTCCTCCCAGTGAGCTGCCCAAATGCTGGAATTGGAGAATTGGAAAAAGAGTTCACAAGGAGGACCAAGAGGTAACCAGGGCGAGTTCTGTTATCTGCTCTCCTAGGAGGGCTGCCAGGAGCTCGCCTGCCCTGGAACATTGGTTTTCTGGAAGCAGATGTTGAGATAGAGTTTAGGATGAAGATAGCTATTAGCAATCCTAATAACTGGGAGTGGTCCCCTTATGGGAAGGGGACAGAAGAAGTGTTAGGCAGCAGTCAGACTTCAGTGTGAGGCCAGTCAGTTCTGCACTGGGCCAGAATGGCTTGAAATGACTGCAGTGCCCATTGTCATGGTCATTGGATGTTTGCCACTCTGGGGAGGATTAGACCTTGAGTGAGGCAGTGCTCTGCAGCTCTTTGCAACTGAGGCAAACTCTGGAGGTGCTGAGACAAGATTTTATTTGAGCATCTCCATGGCACAGTTTTTGGGTTCACCACAAAGGGTACTTGGACAGTTTCTGAGGTTGCTTGTAATTTTACTCACAAACAAGGAGCAGTCGTCTTGCTTTGATCCCAGCCAGTGATCTGACATTGCCTTAATTCACTGAGTCAGTTCCTTATCTCCAGGCATGAAAGATAAGGATGCTCCTTCAGAAAAGAGAGGATAGCATAGCATCACAATTAAGATGTCACCTGGAGCCAAGGATGGTGGTTCATGTCTGTAATCCCAGCACCCAGAAGGCAGAGGCAGGAGGATTGTGAGTTTGAGCTCAGCCTGGGTTACATAGTGAGTTCCAGGCCAACCTGGGCTACACAAGACCGTCTCAAAAAAAGAAAATGAATGACTTCACCTTATTTTTTTTTTCTTCTTTTGTGGTGCTAGGGATCAAACTCAGAACCTTACACATGCTAGGAAAGCTCTATACCACTGAGCTACATCCCCAGCTTACCTTATCCTCTTATAAACTCTGAAATATTATCTACCTCTCTAAATAGTAAAGACTCTCTCATATATATATATACACATATATACATATATATGAGTATGTGTATATATAATGTATATGTGTATGTATGTGTGTGTGTGTGTATTATATATATATATATATATATATGTAGATAGCAAATACCCAGTATACAGTAAGTGTGCTCTATAAGTGTTAGCTGTTATTATTCATGGAGTACCACACTCAGAACTCCTGATGACTCCTCCTACAAATGGTTATAAGATTTCATCTTCAGACATGAGAGAGCAATTCAGCCAAGTCAGTCCTGATGGCCCTATAACTTAGGGAGAGGTGTGGCTTTCATGGGGGACTAGGTCCTTGACTCACCCTGGATGCTAGATGTGATTTTGGGAAGGGACAAGGTCATGGAGCCCACAGCACATCCATAAATGGATCTTCCCTTCTTTGATCACACTAGCCTCAGGGATCCATATATACCCTGAGTGGCCAGAAGACTACATACTAAAGCTGAAATGACAGACTAGAAGTTTGGCACGCGTCATCTCCTCCAGGACATGTGGCTTCTCCTACCATAATTTGGGTTTCTGGTTTCTCAGTTGCAAACTTCCCAGGACTCCCTTGCCTTGGACAGTCTGAAGGGTTGGTGATGTTTGCTTTCCCAGCAGCAATTCCTGGATGTCTAGGTCCTCACAACTTCTTCTCCTGAGGGCCCTTGGTGGGTTCAATCCCAGTTGCTGGTGTTTTCTGGAGTTCACTGGGCCCTGCCTTTGCTGCCATCCCCCATTCTGGGGTCTGTAGCGCTAGCTGCTGTGGGGAAACCATCTCCTGTGTGCCTTGCATCTTGTGTGAACCGCCCCTGCCTGCTGCTTCCTTCTCCCACTGGGACATTTGACATGTTTTCCTTTAAAGCAATGGTGAAAAAAATTTTTTTTGTGGCACTGGGGTTTGAGCTCAGGGCCTCACACTTGCTAGATAGGCTCTACCACTTGAGCCACTCCACCAGCCCTGTTTTGTAAAGGGCTTTTTCAAGATAGGGTCTAGCAAACTGTTTGCCCGGGGCTGGCTTCAAACCATGATCCTCCTGATCTCTGCCTCCTGAGTAGCTAGGATTACAGGCGTGATCCACCTGTGTCCTGTGAAAAAATTCTTTACGTCCACTGGAGCCTAAACTTCACCCTCTCCTCCTCTGAAATGCACCAGGATGGAGCATTATGAGTTGAAAAGAATTATTTTGCCAGTAGTTGGCCAGAGCTCCTGCCAAGGCACATGTGTCGCTCTTGTCCCTCATCGGGTAAGATTTGTGTTATCTGTTCAACTTCTTAGTCCTCATACTGAAATAGCAATTTCAACTCTCTTTCCAT